CCTACGAGTCAGAGATTTTGAATGTCACTATGTAGCGGATGACGCTGATGCCCAGCACGTATCTTCTCAGCACATCTGAGTCCCCCTGTCACCTCAGGAGACTATCTCCAGCTTGCTGAAAACTTCCTACCTCAGGTACACACGTCTTTCTTCTCTGGAGCCCTGGGAGCTTGCTCTATAGCCGGCAGGGGACATATGGGCATGTGGAGAGTTAAAACCCCCAGAGGCAACTCTCAGCCAATGAGGAGGAAAATCAATGACTAAATCCTCAAAGCCTCCCCACCCTTTGGTTATGAGTCAAGTCCTTCACAGCTTCTCAGAAGGTCCCCAGGGAGACTGAGACCCAGTTGCCTCCAGTGGTAAATTACCCGTTAATATACTTTTATTATTTTTCCTCCTTTCGTTAATTCACTTTCCCAATTTCCTTACTTTTGCTTCCTAGGCTCGCCTTCCTATAAACTTCCTGCACCTAATTTCCTGTCTCATGGTCTGCTTTGCGGGGTGGGGGGGGGCGGGGGGGTGGAATCCAAACTGAGAGAACCCCTCCCCTGACCCCTATACTGAGAACAGTTTTTCTTTTTCTTTTTAAAATTCTTATCGGAGTATAGTTGCTTTACAATGTTGTGTTAGTTTCTGCTGTACAGCAAAGTGAATCAGCTATACATAAACATATATCCCCTCCTTTTTGCATTTCCTTCCCATCTAGGCCACCACAGAACATTGAGTAGAGTTCCTTGTGCTATACAGTAGGTTCTCATTAGTTACCTATTTTATACATAATATCAATAGTGTATATATGACGTGGATGAACCTAGAGACTGTCATGCAGAATGAAGTCAGAAAGAGAAAAACAAATATTGTATATTAACGCATATATGTGGAATCTGATAAAATTGGTATAGACAATCTTATTTACAAAGCAGAAACAGAGACACAGATGTAGAGGACAAACTTACGGATACCAAGGGGGAAAGGGGTGGTGGTGGGATGAATTGGGAGACTGAGAACAGTTTTTCGTACATCGTAAGTAATCAAAAAGTACATGTGGAAGTCTTGGGAAATCTTGCTAATGATAATTCCAGCTATTCCTTAGAATCCTTTGGGAGATGATTCACAGTTGAAGATCATGAGACAGAGAAGATGAAATACTCCCTTTCTTCAAAGAAGAGGGGCAGCATATATATGAAGGCAGGAACATGTGTGGTAATTGCAGGGGAAGGTTATAGTTCTGTGTGCCTGGGACTTGGGTAGGTGGTACATGAATGGTGGGGAAGGAGACAGGAAATAGGTATCTATCAATTCTCCCTCTTACTGACTCATTTTATTCCAGGTACCGCAGTAAAGGAGATTTCCATATAGAATTGAGCTCAACTCTAACCTAAACAGGCAAAGAAGACTTTGATCAAAACTGTTCAAATAGGGGAGAGAAATTGAGCTCAACTCTGAATATACAAGGGAGAAGCGGGGGTTTAGAGGCAATGGTCAGAGTGAGGGAGTAAGGTGAAAAAATTAGTAAGAAGAAATTGATTAGATATCGAGTGGGAGGATTCTCACTAAACTTGCTAATCCTGGGCTTGGCGGCCACAGGAAAGGCCTGGTCAGGAGCTGGGCTCAAAGGCGCCAGGTTAAAGTTTGACCAAGAAGCTGGTCAATCCCTACCAGTGTGCTACCTCTGCTCCAACACAAAGAGTACGTGAAGCATTCAACCGTCCATCCACACTGTCAACAGATTCTTATGAAGCACTTCTGCTGGGCTCCGGGATACAGTGGGGGAGGAAGACAGACATGGTCCTCATTCTTATGAAGCTACATCGTTTGGAGGGAAGGTAGACACAAACAGGGAATTGCGTGGTTCGGTAAACACCGCGATACGGGAAGTCCAGGAATATCCAGCAGGAACACCTAGTCCTGGTTAAGTTTTTTTTTTTTGGATGACTTCCAGGATGACATGACATTGTATTTAAAGCCTTAAAGGTGAGTAGGTGTTGGCAAGGCAATGAGGTGTTGGCAAGGCAATGAGGAAAGAGAATAACATCATTAAGAATATGGTGGGTTCAAGAAATTCAAAAGAAGCTTGAGATGGGTGACATATATACACTAATATGTATAAAATAGAAAACTAATAAAAAAATCAATAAATTTAAAAAAAAAGAAGACTTTCCTATTCATAGTGGAAACAAAAGTATTGTAAGCTACATTCTTTTTAATGTACACTGTATGTTTACTACATTAAAAAAGCCTATGAAGATTATAAATATGAAATGGAATTATACTTTATTTTTATAAGTAAATATTTCCTTAAATTGGCCACACATAGTTGTACACAGAACCTAGATGTCAACTCAGCTGAATATTTTATAGTATTCATTCATTTACTTATTCTTTCAAAATATATTATTGAATATCTATTATGTGCCAGGCATTATTATAGGTATTGAA